AGAAAAGAAACCTAAACTTATTAAAGTTAAATAGAAGGAGTAGTAACTAACACACCAAATATATTATGTAAAAATCTCATTCTAAAGAAAATAAAAGATTTTGAATTCAAATTCTATAACATGCAATTAAGTTAAGTTAAGAATTAAAGAAAATTAATTTTTCATTTGTGCAATCTAAATTCAAATTTCTATTATTGATCTGCCCTATGAGAAATTCTGATGTCTTACCAACATTCCTGTGATGTGATATCTCAAATTCACGTCAGAAAATTTTAATTAATCAAATGATGATTTTATACTTTTTAATATTGAGGTGTGAAACCTTTGTAGAGGTACACTGGTAAGGTATCGACCACAAGATGCAAAAATTCATGAACTGTTACTTCTCTGTTGATGGTAGACACTACGTCACAGAAATTTTGGTGACATGGTAGAATATCTCACCCTAGGACCGCATGCAAAGTGATACAAGGCATTTTCCATGGATACTCACCGGGAAACCCCTTCGCAACTCCAAGATGGGCCCAATTTTTTTATTTTCATTAAATTTCATTATAAACATAAAAGATGGTTATTAGAAATTGTGAGATCAATATATATATATTTTTTATTTTAAGAATTGATGATCATATGAAAATTACTTTGAGGAAAAATCTGCAAATAAGCCCCTCAAAATAATTTTTACTAGTGTAGTGAATGAGCCTCTAATGAATTTTGGTGGTAAATAAGTCCATGAAGTTGTAGTTTGTGTATAGACCATGTTCATTGGTACGTGCTACATCGTTTTTACTTTGGTCACATTTACTTTTTGACACATTTGTTACCCGATTGTAACTTTAAATACTTATTTGCAACCTAAGTTCAATGTTTTACAGGTTATATATGCATAAACAGACAGAAAGTAAGGATTACGCCACCTCTCTCCATAAATTTTAAACATATTTACTATAGATTATAACTACAACTTTGAAGGCTTATTTACCGCTTGAGTTCCATTATCTTTTAGGAGTTGATTTGCTTATTTTTCCTTGTTTCGATGGAATTATGCACTTATCTTAGACCACTACTAGAATTCATAATTTCACTGGCGAGAAATCTTGTCGAAAAGAAAGGCAATCAGGTCAATAAAATAGGGTTCCAACTTGGATCATGTCGGAAATGACTTTGTTGGTGAAAGTAATCTTGATAATTTATTTATCGATGTGGATTAAAGTCACATTGGTAAACTGACTCCTAATTACCTACAAGAAACATCTCTCAAACATTAGGCGAAACAATAACACTGGAGATCTATTGTGGTAATCCACGTTGATAATTTACTAACGAAGTTCATGTCTGCAACTACAGCAGGGCCTCAAAGTTTGAGCTATGTCAGTGATTCACCAAGGAGAATGTTGTCCGAGATTTAAAAAATCACCAACAAGATTTGGGTCAGCAATTTTAGGTGCCATTTTTCTTTTCTGCTACTTACCAACAAGGATAACGTTGGTGCATGATGCTTCCCGAATGAATTCGGACAAATAATGGTTTAATTTACCGAGGAAGACAACATTGGTAAATGAATATGCAAAAATAAATAAATAAAAGTTTTTGAATTTATATTGAAATTAATATATATTTTTTATTTAATTCAATTAATTTACAGTTAAATATTAAGTAATTCGTAAT